AATACCTGTTGTCATGCTACTGAAAGCCGGTGCTTAGTTGTTCGATGTCCTCGTCTGCAACAAATAGTACTTCATAGCAATGTTCAACAAAACCGTCCATTTCAGAGTCATCTGATTCCACATCAGCAGAGCTGTTTTTAGAAGAATCAGAGTCGTATCCGGAATCACTGGACGGGAATTCTGTACTACTATCACTGGAATTAATTCTTTCATCCCTAGGTGCACGTGTTTCAGGAAGCGCAGCTTTATTTCCTGTTAATACGTTTAGATTGTTCTGCTTGACCAAGGGCGGATCCAGCCAAAATTGGGGGGGGAGCTAAATTGAGTTTCTTCCGTCAACACAACAACAACAAAAAAGACAATAAAAAAGCATCTAATTCTTCAGCTTTTATTTTGTTTTCTGCTGAAGGAGGGCTTCAGCCCCACTTTGTCCCCCTGGATCCGCCATTGTTGAGGTAAATCTTTAATAGTTGTTTTGCTGTCAGAGAATCCGGTTTGGAAGAGTGTTTTGTTCAGCTTAAACTCAAGATGTTGCGCAAAACAGTGGTTTCATCAACCATCAATTTCTGGCACACCTCTTCATTTCATTCACGTTGGATGAGGTTAACCTACCAGAAGCAAACATCTGCTTGATTCGTACACTTGGAAGTTATCGGTCGACTTCGTCACTCAGACTGGTCACATTAGATGAAATGTATCCGCTTGGTAAGGCTGATGTGTCACCGAGATCGGTGAGATCTGAAGATCTGAAGCCAGAAAGAGAAAGGAGCAGGAAAAAAATAAACAGGCAAAGAAGAGGAAGTTGAAAGCTTCAGATAACAGAAGGAAAAGAGCTTGCACTATATTTAGATCGTTGGGAGGAGCTCCTACTGAATTTTACTATGAACCAGATAAATATGGAATGCCGCAAGTAGAATGTCCATTTCAGGCGGGGTAGCGGTTGTCTCTAGCTGATTGGTTGCGGCAGTGTGCAAGAATTTCTTTCGGCTCAGCGCCCGTGCTAGCTTTGATTAAAAAACCGCAGACATCTGAAGCCGTCTAAGTCGCGTAATTTTGAAAATGGTTAATAATAAAGATAAAGTTAACAAAACGAAGCAAACAATTGGTGAAATGAAGAGAAGTGAAAAAGAGAGGAATATAATGGGGAAAAAAAAGGGTAGGAAATTTAAAAAAAAAAGAAGAAGAGAAGAGAAAAGAAGAGAATAAGAAAAAGAAGAACTGAGCACATAAAATGAAGGTAAACGAAAATATTAAAATGTTTTATAACTCCACGAGCATAAATAAACTCCGTTAATAATATACAACTACTTGCAAGAAGGTTGTCATACCAGAATAGAACATTTGTAATCTAGTAAATTAGTGATTTACTAAATTTACCGATTAGGAATAAATTATCACTGACGTCAGACTCGAATTCATCAGTAAGAAAAAAATAATTTTGGACGACATGATGTAATCGGCATGCAGATGAAGATGTAATTTCAAAGTTAAAACGAAAATGAACAAATAAAAAATAAGATCAGTATTTGTTTTTGTACGTTTCTGCTGGTGTTAAATTGTGGCTATCATGCAGTAAATAAATAGGTTGACATAATAACAATACTAAAAGAATTTCCCTTTAGACTGGGAAAACTAACGTAACTAAAACTACTAATTCTAGCCCGCGCTGCCTGGCGTTTCTGATATGTTGGTAATAGTCTGACGTCAGTGATAATTTATTCCTAATCGGTAAATTTACTAGTAATGATGAATAGGTAAATTATACACCGTGAAAAGATGAAAAAACTTACTGACGTTTCGGACGCTAGTCCTTCGTCGGAGTAATAGAGGTACATTTACTAAATCACTAATTTACTAAATGACAAATGTTCTATTCTTGCATGACAACCTTCTTGCAAGTAGGTGTACATCATATACAAATATCCATGTCAAATCGTACTTAATGAATGAATATTTTATTCTAAGCTTTTCTTGAATTATTTATACACCGATGCATTTATTTCACTTTGTGATTTCTAATTATCGGCCTTTTTATTATGACCGATTCTACTGTTACATCCTACATATATTGCTTTGGAGAGCGTGTTTTATTTAGCATACAGTAATAAGCGTGTCATCATTTTTTCGTTAACAGTGTTACTTTGTGCACACTGCGCATGTCAATTCTAAGCCTTGCTTATAAGGATTGCAAGGCAGAGAACCACAAACCCCTTGAACTGGATACAAAAGAGCGCCATTATAATTCTTATGCGAACCAACGACAGTTTCTGCATCCCTGTCGACGCAGATAAAATCTCTTGGGTGGGGATGAGAGTAATGCTCCGTCAT